TCCAAAACTTGTAGGAAGTGAGACTGTCTGTTACTGTGTTGATTGATTTTTTTTCTGGGAAGCTGTTTGCACATGTGAGTTGAACTGTGCATTAGGAATAGTTCACTTGTGAGTAGTTCTGTGCTGTGGGATAGCTCTTGTAAGAGAGGAAGACATTAGGAACTTCCTCAGTACTTGTAGAGAAATGTCAAAAACCATACAGTTAGTGAAGTATAAGGTTAAAAAGGGTGTGAAAAATTATTGCATAGTAGATGTAGGATGGTGAAATACTCTGTTTTTTAATCTGTTTGGTTTTGTTTTTCCCTGTGTAGAAAACTAACTCAAGAAGAGTATGAGCGCCAGGAGAAGGAGCAGAAGTTGTCTGCTGCAGATGAAAAGGCCGTGCTGGCTATCGAGGAAGTGAAAGTTTACAAGTAACTTTGGTTTCTGAAAGGTGTTGTTTTTCTTTATTTCAGCTACTGAAGAAAACTCATTTAATTTTCCTCTTTCCCCTCCTTTTCTTTTTATAAAGGCAGAGGATTCAAGATATGGAAGAGGAATTGCTAAAAACAGAGAGATCTTATAAAAACCAGGTACATTAGCTGCCAATTACTGCATCATTTCTAATGCTCTGTAATGAGTTCTTGGAAACCAAGTTGGTGGAAGAAAAAAATTAATATACTTATTTTCTTCTCAAGATTGCTGCTCATGAGAAGAAAGCACACGACAACTGGGTAAGAGTGTTCTTCCCTTTTTGATATGAACATTTGGTATTTGGCTTTGGGCTGGTGCAGTTAATGCAGCTGGCAAAATTTTCCCTGGCAGCTTATTGCCCGCTCTGCTGAGAGAGCTCTGGCTGAAGAGAAAAGAGAAGCGGCCAACCTGAGACAGAAGTGAGTACAGTACAGGCTGGTTTTATTGCTCTGGGATCGTTTCTTAGGCAAGGAGGAGCTAACATTCTGCAAGGTGCATGGCCAGCTGGTTTCTGTGCAACGTGCGAGAAGGAGAGGTCGGTTTGACCTCCTTGAATACTGTATGGTGCACATATGAATAAGAACTTCAAGGTTTTAACTTGTTTTGATGGTTAGAAATAGGATTACTTGGTAAAAGCTCGAACATTTTACTATATATATATATATATATATATATATATATATATATATAAAATATTTGAGAGTCATTATACATTATAAGTTAAAAAACTGTTTGTTAAATTTAGATTAATGGAAGTGAACCAAAAAACCATCATGCTTCAAAGACCTCTAATTGTAAAGCCAACCCCAGGCAGACCTGATCGCCAGGTCCCACCACGACGAAGTAAGTGCTCCTGTTTCTCCCAAAACTCTGGGCTTAGAATCACCTTATTCTTTAAAAAAAAAAACAACACAAAAAACAGCCATGATATAGTAATAAAATTGGTGTGATTTACTTTTCTTTGTTGATTTTTCTTACTTGATGTAGTGCCCTTAAGTAGAGATGGTTCTTTTGGTCCATCTCCTGTGAGTGGAGGAAATCCATCACCCACACAGATGATGGAAGTTCCCAGTAGGCCCCTTTCTGCTCCTCAGAGGGAAGGATCAAGAGCTGAATTTGGTAAGGAGAGAGGGTTCCTTTCTGTCACGCCTACCTTACGTGCTGCAAAGAATGCTAAGGTCTGATTTTGATTCTAGGGGTCATGTAAGTATTGATACCTGCTTTGTTAACACACAAATGGATTTATTTTAATTTAAAGTAGCTCGGGCACGTGTTGATTAGAATCTCTGGTGTTGTTTCTCTTAAGGTACAGTGGTAGACGGCCCCCCTGCTCCACGGAGGCCACCAGAGCTCCCTGGAAGGATGTCCGTTCCTGGTAAGTTATGTGGCCTGCCCCCAGGTGCACAGTGTACTCAATCTTTCAGTTCAGAAATGGAACCTGAAGAACCACATTGCTTTTCCAAAAGCGTGACTGAGACTTGCCTTTGTGGCTCTCTCTGCAGATCTTGGGCCTGCTGTAGCATCCCTGATCAGCAGTGGGCCGAGAACCTCCTCTCCTGCCACAGCAAAGGACAGGGCGGTAAGCTGCAAAAGAAACAACCTTCAGGAAACATTTCTAATACACGATTCACTGTACTTCTGCTGCTGCTTTAACTGTGTCATGTTCTGTCTTGTCTATGTCCTGTCACTACTTTATTTGATGTCTGCCCCTTTCCCCAAAAAAAGCAGCCCTCTCCCAAAGAGCCTGAAGCCCCCTGTGTAACTACTGATTCACCTTCATCTATTGAACCAGCTACAGTGAGTATTCAGAGGCTGAACATGGTGGTGCACTGCTTTCATGGAGAATAACAGGCTTGGTGTTCTGAACTGCTCAATAACAAAACACTGCAAAACTAACTAAAGGCTGACACTTCTGTCTCAAAGGTTTCTCTAATGATGAGCACCTCCTGTCTGTGGTTTGTTTTAAATGGAGTTAATGAAATTAGACCTTTCTTCTAAGGGCTGCAGGGAAACACTTCATGTCAGCGTGACAATGATAACCTTAAGCACTCTTACTTGTGTGTTTAACTGCATTCCATATTTAACGTTGGGTGCCAGGCCCTACACCACAGGGGTATCCACCTGAGGATGCTTCACAAGAGTGATCACTCTCCAGCTAAAGCTGTACTTGGAAAATTTGTCATCTGAGAAGATGCACAAACTGTTCACTCCTAGGTAGTGCACACAGTGTTCTGGTTGAGGGGATGATGATGCAACACACCTCCTTATGTTCTACTCAGTTAATGAGTTTTGGGATGTCTTTCCCCCCCCACCCCCGCTCCGTCTCTTGGCCTGTGGTGAGTGGTTGCGGCGCTCAGCGGTGTCGGTATTCCTCAGGCAGTGACTAACATGCTGGAATATTAACCTCATCTCACACAGGTTAACGTTGGTCCCAAAGGCCCACCTTCTTTCCCTGGGACGCCCGTCATGACCTCTCCAGTGATGGGACCTCTGCCTCCACCACCTGTTAACTATGGTCCACCACCAGCTCCTTTTCCTGGACACTACGGGCCTGGGCCTCGGCCTCTCCCTGTGCCCCTAGGTACAGTTGCTTTGCCTTGTGCTCAAACGGAACTTTTCCCACTGAGCTCCTCAGAAGCGTACTGTAGAACTGGGAATGCCATCAGGTAGCACCAGTTTCCTCATGCTTCGTGAGGTTTAGCTGTCTTGCTCCAAATGTTTGGATGAGTGAGTTTCTCCCCAAGTCTCCGTCCCACCAAGGTGCTCTTCCTTGATTAGGCTGTAACAGAAACCAGCAGCCAACAGGCACTAGGATAGAACTAATGACTGCTGCAGTCTTGCATGTGGCAGTGACCTACCCCAGAGCCGCTCCAACGAATGCAGAGATGAAGAGAGTCAGGTTCAAGTAAAATTTAACTCCGCCTTCTCCTTTCCTTCCAGTTTGTGGTGCTCCCTTACCACCGCCAGCTGCAAGAGATTTCTTACCTGGCCCACCCTTAGGAATAAGAGATCTGCCTCCCGGCCCCCTGCCGCCCTTTCCGGATCCCAGAAGCTACAGGCGTGGGCCCCCTCATTTCCGACCGCCGGCTCCTCCTGGCCCACGCGATTTTCCACCAGGCCCGCCGCTACCCCCGCCTGCCTCCAGGGACTACGCACCTTCTCGGAGCAGAGACTTGCCTGCAGCAGGGCCCAGGGACTGCCCTGCACCGCCGCCGGCGGCCTCGAAGGACTACACACAGCCTCCTGTGCAGAAGCCCTAACTGCAGCCTCCGGTTGGTCAGCAGCTCAGTGGAACGGCCTCCCGTGCGCTTCCTGCGCGCTGCAGAAACGGTGGCTGGTTCTCTAGGTGAAGCCATTTGTTTCATTTCAGTATATCTCAGTTTTTTCAGGAGTAATTTTTATCCGGTCGCTGCAAACATTTACGATCACCTTAAGCTCATCCATCCTCTTGGGCTGCAAGAACCTTTTTGTGATGGACTTGAATCTACTCGAAACGTGCAATAGAACGGAAATACCTGTGTGGCTAGTTTTAATTAAATGTAGCCTTTGTTACCAGTTGGTGAATGAATTAATTTCTTGAAAAATGTAAATCAAATCATTTCCTGTGGAAATAATTTTTAAGTAAAATGCCATCTTACCTGCCTTCTCCATCACATCATTAAGCTGCAGTTGTTGTAGGCCAGGAGTTTACATGAGGACTGTGAGGTGTGGTTTTATTTTTCTTTTTAAAAAAAACCAAACTGTCTGGTCAGAGATCAGAAGCACAAATGACACTGTATTCAAAGGAAAGTTATAATAAAAAGCAAAATTCCTTTTGCTAAACCCTGAAGGCTTTGGTTCAGTGCCATTTTTTTGTTCAGAAAGAACGTTGGTTTAGTAATTTAACCAGAGAATGCTGCAGCTACGACCAAGTTGAAGAACCGAGTCAAAGCTGAGTAACTGCAGATGTCACAAGGTTTAGGATTGAACGAGTAACGTGCCAGACTATCCAGCATAAGGCTGACCTGCTTCCTGCACCAAGGGATGCTGAGGGCAGGAGGGAGCTGGAAGCTATATGGAGGCCCTGAGCTCTTGGGCTCTGTGGTCACACAGCCAGTACAGAAATTAAAGGATAGGGCTCCAGAACTTAAGATGTAACAACCACCTCCAATACTGACTTGCAGCACTCTAAGCAAGGGCTGGGAAGTCAGTTTGCACCTCAATATAAAAGAGTAATTTAGCTTCCTTGGCACTAAGTCTGTATTTCATATTTATATAATAATAAAATCTACCTTTCACTAAAGCAAAGTGGTTTTATGTAAACCGTATTAAGCTGTTTTGTTTTCAATCAGTTTAAAGCTGTCCAGTGTTCTGTGTGTATAAAAACACACCTTACATTTACAGACGTTCAAAGAAGTCCATGAATGTAAAACTTGAACAACACAAGGATGGTGCAGTAGGTGGCACAGTGGGCCCACGTTCTGGGATTTCAACAGCGCTCTGTGCAGAAGTACCTCTTAGCAAGGTAGGAAAAAAAAAAGGGAAGAAAAAACTAGGAATAATAAAAATCTAATGAAGGCCATTACAGCTTTACTGCCAGAGTACAAGCAGCCATTAAACTTGCCATGTAGGTGTTACACAGTCTTACAGTACAAGTAATAAGCTTCAGGTTTAAGATGAAGGACAAGATAGGTAGAACATCACTAACGCATAAAATAATACAAGTAGGAGCTCGTGGTGTGAGGGGTAGTAGTCCTTTCCATGAAAGACAGTTCACAGGAGGAAAAAAAGCAACTTCAAAAATGGCATCTCACACTCTACAGCCATTAATTCACAATTAGTTAAATACAAAGCTCTACTTGTGTATTTAACAAAAACACTTCAAAGTTGACATTTCCTATAACTGGAGTTAATACAGACACGTACAAGCTGGAGAGGAGTCAAGGTAAGCAGCTGAAACAATGGGTTTGAAACGTTAAGTGAGAACATTCAATTTGAATAGCGGGTAATTACATACATGTGAGCAATATGTAAGAGTCAGGATCTTCCCAACACCAAGCTTTGTGATGCTTAATGTCTCTTCCCTTCCTCACCCAGTGAGTTAAGACAAAGCCGGAAGGAATCATCCTCTGGGAGCACCAGGAGGCCGTGCTGTCAGTCACAGGCAATCACATATAACTTACTTCAGTGCTTTCACTGGGCATTGAATGGCGCCAGAAGAAGCAAGAGGATGGCAGGGACAGAGCCAGAGCTGGGGCCTGCAGCGTGAGACTCGAAGGCTTGGCACTCTCATTTCCTAATCAGAAAGAGACCTGAGCCAGCCAAGGAGAGTTGGCAATTAACCCAGCTATTGCCCTAACCCAGATTTATTTGCAGCCATAGAAGCTAACTAATGCCTCTGCTCTATCCTTTAGCAGAATTTGAAGGATTTAAAAAAGAAAAGAAAACTTAGGCATCCTCCTTTTGTGTGGTATTTAGAATGCTTCATTCAGAGGTATTCTGCAACTCACAGGGAGATCTTTTCCAGGGCTTGATATCCAGATGTTATCACGGCGTAACACCACTGGGGCATTGTGAAGACCCGTAAACAGGAAAATTCAATTGCACTTTTTCTTCCTTTAAGAGAAAAACAACCACCTCCAACTACTGGTAGTACTTGAAGAAGCGCTGCTGGCTTTTGTAATAATAGCCGATCAGTTACTCAGTGAGAAGTTAGGAAAATTTATCCCTACCTAAGCCAGAATGGAAGGAAGGTGAGGAAAAAAGAAATCAGCACATTCAAAAATAGCTTCTTATCCTCATAATATGTTGAAGAGCTGTCTACACAGACAAGGAAAAGTAACATCCTGTCCCTGTAAAGCATACCACAACATCTCGGGGCTACAGGACAGAGAAAAAGAACTGGTGAGACACCTGCATCCAGACTGCCTGAAATAAACCTCGTGTTTGGCACCAGCTGGGGAGCTGGGTCTTCTGTTAGCATAGCAGAGTAGTTAGGCACTAGTTAGGTACGTAAGAAGTATATCAAACATTAAAGTATTGTATTAAATATATGAAAGATTTGACTGGGGCCTACTTCTGTCCATTTATTAGGTCAAAAGGTGAATGCAAGTGTGTCATAATAAGCCAATGTCCTGCAGCTTAATCACACACTGCATCAAAAAATATAGAAAATAAATGATAATCCTATCTACTTACATAAAAAGGTGATTTTTGGAGTAAGTTTCCAGACTCGCACAGCATATGCAGAAAACTGCATACAATCAGTTTCCATAAGAACAGCAGTTTCTTGTAAAAGGGGGGGAGTGGGGTTCCAACCCGCTAGCCAGATCTACTTCAACAAAAGCTCTGGAAAATTGACTGTTGAACACTGAGGGGCCCATCCTGCTACCTCTGGAACGGAGAAATACCCACTGCTGTGAGGATGAAGCCTCGAAGAAAGCCTTTCTCCTTCCCCACCCATCTTCACAAATCATTCTGTGACAAGATATAGAAAAATCGGCTCTAGGGAATAACTGCGATTTAAAGGACTGCGATACGTAGTGCGTCCAAAACTTGGGAAGAGTGGATCAGGCAAGGCTAAGAACTAGGATTCAGCTGTTCAAATCATAGCTCAGTTTTCTCATCTGCAGTCGTCCTCTTCCTGGCCCAAGCAAAGCACACCAGCCGGCCGAGGAGCTCTTCTGCGGCCACCTCACTTGACCCATCCTCCTCCCACTCACCTCACCGTCACTTCCAGCAGCTCAAGCTCTTCCCTCCCCACCTTCTCTCTCTCCTGCTCTCCTGCCACCCAGCCTGCTACCCAGGACTCTGAAATGCAGATGAGAGGAACTACAATAGCACAGCAAGTGTAAACAGGTTAGTAGGCCTGCCACATCTTTATTGCTACAGGTCTGGCAAAAGGGCAGTCTCCGACCTATGGTGGAGTTTGAGGCAAAAGGATAATAATGGTTAAGATAAAGGTGACGAACAGCAAAACTGGGAAAAGCAGTCAAAAATATTTCAGGGCTCTCAGAAAAACCTGCATCTGGAAGGTACTGAAAAACTTTGCACTTGGGTGGTAGGTTTGCCTCTGACCCTGAAGTAGTGCTGTGCAGTATGTGATGGTCCCGTTTGACCTACTGGCATGAGTACAGTCATTTTCCTGCCCTTCGAAGCCTAAGGCTACTACACACAGCTACCATGACTTGTGGTTCAGTTCACAGAAGTCTCACAAATAGGGTCATTCCTTGTGCAATGTTTGATGGAGGTGAAGGTAAAGTGGTTTCTTGGTCAACAGTTGCAATTTCTTCCTTTTAAAGTCAGTGGGCTTTTTGTACCTGTAACCACAAGAAAGTGAGTTAATGCAAGTGCTAACAGCCATGAGGAAGGTGAAAGCATGCCAGAAAGCTTGTCCTGTCCAGATCCATTACCATAATCTTTTAAATATAACAGATAAGATTGACTGGAACAACAACAAAAAAAAAAAAAAATGGATTTACAGAAAGAAACTCAAGAAAGCACCCCAGCTAGCACAGATTCACTTCAGCACTCTTCCTACAGAAGAGCAGAGAACTGCAAGGCTCACTTTCTTCCTGAAAGAAAACCTCAAAATCCCTCGCTCAGTGGACTTTCACCTACACAACAGCATTAAAACTCACACCATAAGCACTGCAGAGTAACAGCCTGATCTATCCAAAGTAGACAAACAAACAAGGAGCACTACTAATCACCTAACAAAGCTTTGAAATGCTCATAAAAATATTTCAAATCAGTCTCAGATTATTAATATATATATATATATATATATTTTTACAGAAGTCCTGCACCAGGAGATCATGGGAGTTCACACTCATTTTTTAAATACAGCTGATCTCACATTCAAGCTGATGGCAAAACAAAAGCCTTCCCTGCAGATCTTGCTAACTTCACATAAAATTCAGTTACAAACACCAGCATTTCCACTAGAAATAGTCTCGTTTTTGAGAAAGGTCTCTAGCCATTTTATTTGTCTAAAGGCTGTTATCTTCCCTTCTTTATTAAAATTAGAATATTCCTTATGTAACTCAGTGCAATGAGTTAATAAAACCTTCCATGATACAACAATCTACACATTGGAACTGAAGCATAGCTCATTTCCTCTGTAATCATCAATAACTTACAGTTCTATAACAATTGCCCCAGGTTTAATTTCATCCATCTCCATGAAAGCAAAGCACTTGGTGCTAGTAAACCTTTTCTTAGGCTTGTAGTGTTTGAATTCAAAGAAAATAGCTGCACCTAGAGTGGAAAATCGTAGAAATGTTAGCAATTATGGCCAATACTTATCAGAAAACTTATCTGCCATTAAGATGCTCTGTGCACATTGGATGGAGTCATCTCCAGCATTTCAAAGAGACACCGTGTTCTTACAGTGCTCATCACACTCACAGGAGTTTGCATTCCACACTCCATGATTCATACCCAGGGATCTGTCCAAACACAATACCCCTCGTAGCAGAGCAGGCTGCTGCATTTTGTTTGGTTTCATTCATTCCTCCCCTGCCTTCAAATCATCACAATGACCCATTGGAAAACAACACAATGCAAAGGTGTTGTTTGTTTGTTTTTTTTAATCTTCATCTGGAACTTCAGCCCTGCCACAGCTCGGGCTCAGCCTGTTTATTAGATCAGGAGCAACTCAGTGTCTATGTTTTCCAAGCTCCCCAACCCCACTTCTGCTTTCTGCTACTACATACCTTTTGTTAGCTTTTCAACATGTTTCTGAATCTCGATGTCCACATTAAAATGGACATACGTGTCCTCTTTCCTCAAAGCCACAGGAGTATCTTGTACAGGAGTCAGGTCTATTCCATTCAAATCTGTGACAAAGAAACAGAATGAGAATGGGAGAGGCACTGCCTGCAGTCCCTGCTTTGCTGCCCACATGCAGCATGTTCATCTCTGCTGGATCTTCAGACGGCCGTGGGCTGGACTCCAGCTGCCAGCACCAGCCACCACAGACAACATTTCTCACAAAGCTTCTGCTCCCAAAACATTTGAGAAACAAAGAATGAATTCGCAATCAGCAGAGCAGGTGATAGGCTCCTCCCACACACACTTTCTGACTTTATTCTACATCACAACCTCTCAGCTTGCAAGCAGAGCACCATGTTAACACAAAGCCTTGCTGGAAATGTGAGCCTAGAAATATGCAGTCTTTCTCAGTTCCAGAAAGGAAGTGAAAGCTAGCTCTGAAGGCAAGCAAGTTTTAACAATATGCAATAATTTAAGAAAGACAAACACTGAGGGAAAGGAACAACAAATCTTTGCTTTACAAATTCTTTTCCAGGATTTGATGTGAGAACCCTGTTAGTGCTGGTGTTTTCCTGTTGGCCAGCAGAAACTCAGCAGGAAAGAATGAAGTCTGATTAAACCACATCCATCCACTAGCCACACCAATGAAGGTGCCCATCCCTCCGCTTTCTGGCATTCTGGAGGCAAAGAAAGATCCAAAATGACTAGAGAAATGCATGTTTGGGAATAGTTACATAAGCTAAAAATAATGCTGCAATGCTGTAAACACAAGTACTGCATGTTTTCAAGACTTGCCTTCCTTGTCGGTCATGTTTTAACTTCACTACTGAAAAACCATCAGACAAAGCAGGGTCAGATGAAGCTTTCTGCCTGTATGTTCTGATAAGTAACATTTGAGAACATCCTGGGACTCGACTGACGTTCAGTACTGTGCCCCTTGTGCCTGCCAAAGAACTCAGCCAGGAGATGAAGCAGCCTGATCATACATCTAATAAGTACTTCAGCACTGCCTTTGGAATCTAATAGTGCATCTAAAGGACAAGCACAAAGTCACCACCACAGCTGAGCAGAGGCTTTTGTCTGATAAAGGGAAATCATTTGCTTCCAGTGATTGTAAAGACAAGCAGAAGTCAAACAGGGTGAGTTAAAGATAAGCAATTCTGACTATAGTGGATTCCTGCTAACAGATGGGGAAGGGGCAGATGCTCCCACTGTGAGCATCATGAGACTCTGAATACCAAAAATCTCACTCTCAAGCACAAGCCATCAACCATGTTGTCATATGAAACTGCTTATCTGCAGCTGACAGAGGCATTGATTCCTTCAGATTCACAAAAACTCTCCATGAAGGGGCAGTAAGCCCACCAGACCAGCTGAAATATTTTAGTGCCAAGACTAAATGTATTTTATATTTTGTTTCACTTTCAACCACTCCTTCCCAACTTCGTATCCATTCATCTAAAATCTCAAACCTTGGTAAGAAGATCTTTGTTTTACAGAATTAATTGGTTTAATGACAGGGCACGACAGCCACTGAACTGTGGTTTGCTGTCTCCAGGAAGCCCAGAGACCAGTAAGTGTTGGGGAAAACAAGGAATCCAAGCACTTGCACTTAAAAGTCAGCCACAAAAGCTGAAACAGATAAGAGCAGCCTGCCAAGTCGCTGTTTCTCGGGGCAGCGCCCCTCAGTGCAGCGATCTGCCTCCCACTATCTCCTACATACAGATTTTCCCCACCCCTGACTCAGCCTTAACACCACAACAAATACACGTAAGAACAAACGCTGCTCCCTGCAGACAGAAAATAAAAATAAAAATCCACACTGCTTTCAGGAAATGCACACTTCCTCCAAACTGGGAACAAGGAGCCAGGAACAGAAATCATTACCCTTTACACTGACTGTGATGTAAGGATCAATGCACTGCCCAGCATCTTTCAGACCAATTTTCTCTATGTTGATGGTGAGTAATGTCATCCCGGGTTCAGATGGCAATCTGGGTAATAAAGTACCTGAAAAGAGTAAAGCACACTGTTAACCCTTTGAGTCACCTTATAACAGAGGCCACGCGCATCCCACCACCTCTCATGGAAGAGAATGCTCTCCAATGGGAGCTCCAAACCCACAGATCTTAACCCAAGAGCACACAGCACTACAGGAATGCACGCACAGCCACGCACAATTTGACAGATTTCTAAGTCCACACCAAGAGATCCAGGGTTGCTTCAAGTCAAATGAATTCATAAAAAAAACACGGATGTCCTAAGAACAGAGAAGAGCTTTGTTTAAAGCATTCTTTCTTGCTCTCATGCAGAGTAACTCATGCATGGAATTCCATTTATATAGTTTGTAAGGATTAAATTTGGGAAGCTGGATTCAATCTGCAGCTGCAGGAAGTTCAGACACTTAATCAGGAGCACCCACCCCACTGAACATGACTTGGCTTCATGCTGAACACTTAAGCTGGGAAAACAAGGAAGAAAATGGCATTGTTGCAAATCCTGCTGGATGCAAGGGAACCAGAAGAGAGATTCTTAACTTTCTGAGTTCTATGGGTCTGTACCTATATATCAAAGCATTAAAGAAGGAGTTCCTAGCACTGCATCAAGAAAGTTCAGAACCAGGTAATTCTTGTCCACAGTGTGTGGCCACAATGTAGGTAAATCCCTGTAGAGTGAAGGAAGACAACACATCTGACAGGAAACCCAAACTGTCCGAACTTGGTAGCATCTGTGAGATTCCATAACCAATAACAGGGTAGGTTTCTTCATGCTGATTTTAAAGAGAATTGACAGGCTTCAAGTCTGTCTCTAGTATTAGATGAATAAGCACGAAGACAGAAAATGCTTAGAGTCATGAGCAAGTTTAAATTAAAGTTCTGGTTTTCTAATTAAAAAGAAATGTTATTCCAAGGCTTGAGATCTAAATAAAGTAATAATTTCCTTTGGCAAGTTCCAGCTGGGTTTTCCTTCATCCCTTTTTTCCTTTGATCCACTTGAAGAGTTGGAAAACTGAGGCGTTGTTGTTATATTGGAGGGACTAGCTTTAAAAGAGGGGCAGTGTGTTCTGCTGCAGAGCTACAGCGAGATTTCACAGGCATTCCCACACCCAGTCCTTCTTTCAAGGCAAGGAACAGCAAGGCCTGAATTCACATCTCTGTGACAGCACATCTGTACCTTCCTGTCTTGGCAGAGCCATGTCCCAGACATACAGTACACCTGACAAGGGATCGTGGCAGTATCCGACTCACACTTCTGAAGTAAGGGGATGGGCTTCTGATCGTAACATGAAGAATGCTTAAATTGAATTTATTAGAGAGCATCCATCAAGAAGCACACACACTCTAGTTCATCTTGCTGCTACCTCCTGGAGAGATGTTTGAAACCACTTTTTATTTCAATATAGAGGAATGTAGATCAAAACCTTTCCTCTCTTGGACACAAAACTCTGGTCTGCCATCTTTCAGTTGCCTCCTAAAAGCAGTACGCCTTGCCAAGAGCTAAGAACAACTGTAGCTTGGTTTTCCCCATCCCTCTCTAAATGACAGTATAACCAGCACACAAAAATCACCTATGAGATCTATCAGACTCCAGTACTTAGTATAAACATTCTGGCTTTAGAAATGCTTTTCTGCTCTTGAAAAATGCTTTCCAGAATGTACAAAGTCATGGAGTTACAACGAACAGGAAAGTTGGGCTCACTTCCAGTGGGTAGGAAGATAGTAGACAGATGGTCCCTAAGGAGCAGGGTTTCACTACTGCCTCAGCAGAAGGACTAGTCACACCAGGCATTGGCTAAAGCAGCTGGCCATCCTGTCCCATACAAGCCACAATCATCCAGGCAGCTCTTTTGCTGCAGTCACTTCACATCGGGGCCATTACCTGACAGTAGCTTAAGGGATAACATTACTAGGGCTGGCCATTGCAGTGCTATAGTTTGGGCCCATGATCCTTTCTCAGCCTCATACTTTTCATGGCTTTTCATGGGAAAACATCAACTGCTTCCAACACAACTGAAAGCAGTCATTCTCAGAACTGAAGGAGAGCACCCACAAATGTGTTCTTAGTGTTCTCCCACAGCTATGTGTCAGATATACAGAAGTGAAGCAACCTGAAGGCTCGCTGACACCAGGACAGGGGTGCCCAGTCTCTCCAGCCCCAGTTCCCAATTCAGAGAGAAGACAACAGGTCTCCTGCAGGGTTCACAACAGAAACAGGTCACAGAAGGATCTACTGCCAACACAGCAGTCTAGTAAAGGCAGTATAACCAGGAGAAAGGCAGATAGGAAACCTTTGCTGTTAAGTGGCTGCAAGTCACTGGTCAGATCATCTTCACACAATTGTAACTATGTATATACTGTTAATGCAAGATTTCCCCTTCAAATGTGCATTCTGCAAAAGAAAATCTACCTACTCCTACATATGGCTACACTGCAAGTCAGCATATCTTTAGCAGCACATTAAGACTTCTAGAGAGCTATATGCAACACCAAATAGGACTTTCTCTTTTTCTGGCCCTGAAGGGAAATGAAGATTAACACACTGACACCTAGTAATGTGATCTTTACCCTTCAGATTGTACTTTGAGCTTTGAAATTAAGAGCCAAATGACAAACATCACAGTTACAGGACCATGATCAGAGAAATAACAGTAATGTACCTTCATTGACTCCTGGGTTAGATGAATGGTGCAATGTGGTAACGATGAAGCCATGCATGTAGAAGACAAGACAGTTAGACAATACAATTATGCACGATGGATTAAAGGCATACTGAAGCAGAGTGCAACACAGTCACAGAATCAAAGAATCATAGTGGTTGGAAGGGACCTTGGAGATCATCTGGTCCTACCCTGCAGCTAAAGCAGGTTCCTTATGGCAGGTTGCAAGTATCTTTGGAGGAGACAGCCCCTCTGAGAAGCCTGATCCAGGGCTCTGTCACTCTCAAACTAGAGAAGTTTTTTGTCGTGTTTGTATGGAACTTCTGGTGTTCCAGTTTATGCCCATTGCCCCTTGATCTGTCATTGGGCACCAGCACCAAACAGAGCCTGGCCCTATCCATTTGACTCCTACCCATTAGATATTTAGAAGCTCTTCTACAATGCCCACTCAGTCTCTTCTCCTCCAGGTTGAACAGCCCCAGGTCTTTCAGCCTTTCCTCATGCAGGAGATGCTCCAGGCCCTCATCAAGTTTGTGGCTCTCTGCTGGACTCTCTCTAGAAGTCCCTGTCTTTCTTGAACTGAGAAGCCCAGAAATGGACATGAAATACTCTTAATTCAACATGGAAAGTACACTGAAGAAGCTCACCTCAAAAGGCTGCAAACTGCATTTGCTTAAGCCTCTCTGCCCACAGAGAGAGCTACCAATTCACATCCAAAGGTAAGAAACACCACACAAATTCAACGGGAAAACAAGATCTGTGTTCCAATCATACTGAACCATCTTAGAGGTTCAGATCAAAATAGGTTTAACTTCACGCAGAAGTTTCCAGAAAGTCAGATAGACCATGAAGTAGATGACAGTAGAAAATGTAAATAAGAGGAGGAGGTGTGAGCAACTTCTCTAAAAGCACCGTTTTACAAAGAAGTAATTCTGTAAGAAAGTACAGACCCCACAGCTCTCTTGTTTCTGAATTATTCTTAGAGAATAATCTAGCTGTAAACACAACCTTCTTACCCTCATCTTAGATTCTTTCTTAAATACATGAACAGTCTCTCTGTCCATCGTCAGCAGACAGCTCCAACGGCTTGCACAGAGAACTACAACAACAGTTATGGCCTCATTGGTTTGCCAGCACACCAAGAGTTACTCACTCCAAATGTCTCTCACTTCTTTCCCCAGCTTAAACCTTGAATAAACAGTGTGCTGAAAGGTATAAACAAAATAAACCCAGAAGTATCCCTCTTCCTTAAACTTGACATTTATCTAGTTACATGGAGACGTCAAAGAACACTCAGGAAAATCTAGAACTGAGTAGACTTACACAATCCAAAAGAAATTTGAGATCGATGTGCACCATACACACATACCCAGAGGAAGCTTAAATGAATCTTCTGATAGATGTTGTACTTAGAACAGATAGAATGTACCTTAATAAACAGATTTATCCTAGTGGATAGCAAAGATCAACAGCAGCTAATTATTACTCATACAACTACTGTTGCCGAAATACTGAAATTACTCAGGTCTTTCAGACATAATTCCAGTTCTAGTTCCCCTATTTGTTATCACCTTCTTGAAATAGGAAGTTTTCCAGTCTGCTCCAAAACTAGAAACTTGTTTCTTCTTCAAAGAAACTACATCAAGAAGGAAAGAAAAAAAAACCTCAAAGCCCTCTGTTGGAACATTTTATTCCTTTATTGCTAACCTCCCAAAATTGAGGTTGGAGGAACACCTCTAAAATCTGCAGGTATATCCATTCCAGCCAAAGCTACCCCTCTTCTCCTTGAGCTTGGCTTTAGTTCAAGCTATTGTCTTACTAGACAATACAATGGAGGACTAACCAGCAATAGCTTCTCACATCTCTAGCAAGATGTGATACTCCTTGAAGGAGCAAATGCTGCCGCAGGTCACATCTGAACGTGTTCAGAATGCTTCACATAATATCATTAAGAAAATACATGGAATGACATTATTGAGTTTGAAGAAAGAGCAAATTAACTGAGGTAGACAGCACCATCTTGCAGATTACGGGTACAACTGTTTTGCAACAGGAAACAGTTTGCTGAGAAAAAAAGTCCACTGAACACCCTCATGGTTTTCCAGTACAACACTAGAGTTTCCAATACAGCTTGCTGCTCTTCATCCAAACTTTTAAAATCAAGATGGAGAAAAGGGCTTCTCTGAGACAGAATTTACACACAGGTGATGGAAAGGTGGTATTCCTACCTGGAACTCTAGCAGGAAAAGAGTCTGGAGACCCTGCTCCAGCTCCTCCTTCCTCATCATCCTCCTCAAACTCCAAGTGCTCCTCTTCTCCTGGTGCTAATATCTTCCTGTAAGTACAAAAAAAGATGACTGTGACCAAAGATCATTCATCCTCTGATTTTCAACTCGCACAGCAGCATCTGAGTATAAAAGCAGGAGCAACATTTTTCAGTGCCATTTCACTTTTCTGATCAACTACTACTGTAGAAAGCCTCCTATTACATATAGCAGAGTCAAAAACTAGGAGATCTACAGAGATGTAGGATCTACCAACTACTGATTTTACTAACATTGTACTTTAATTTTAGTGGTAACTGGAAAGCTAGATTTCAAAACTTTTTCTCACCTGCTTACCCAATGCAAGGCAGCAAGTGGGCTGTTCTAAGAAATTCTCATGTCTCAGATGCACACCATACAGTGATGCAGTTCTCTTCTTACCTGAGTGGGACAGGTTGAACATCAAAGGGGAACTCCTTATTGTAAGTGAGGATATTCTTTAAGACTGCAAAGAAGGAAAAATAAAAATAAAAAGCACAGTAAGAATCCATACCTGTAATGAAGCATCTAACATGTTTTATAGTGATTATAGTGAAAAAAATAAGGAAAAAAACCTGCCACACTCACACCTTAAACATGAATAAAGGCATAAACATGATGAAATGCATATCACTACAACTTTCAGATCTGAAACTGTGACTGCAGAACTTCATCACCACATATTTATATAGGTGGGGGTGATAAACACAGCAACAATTAAAAGCATCATAAGGAATAGTGACAAGCCCCCGGGGTAATGGTACCTTAACTACTAAGGGTAGATATTTCCAGAAACATATAAACAAGCATTTCATGATGGCTAAAAGACCTAAAAAGAGAAGAAAGCTTTCAGAAGTGGGGAATGAAGAACCCAGGCTGGGCAGCCTTCCAGCACAGCTGAGGTTGAGGAATAGAATCCTCTTACCCTCGGAGAGATGCATCATAGAAAGCAAAACTGCCCCTAACAGAAAAACCTCAATGAAGTAGAATCTCACAGTGATCACGTGCACATTAAACAGAAGCAAAAAAACTGCAGTTGTTCTCCTCCCTTCTTCCAAAGTTTGGTATGCATGAGATTCCTCCCTCTTCCCAGTAATATCGGTTTCTCCTCCGCGTGAATGAAGATCCCCTAAGAAAAAAGCCTTCTTGCAAATAATCTCAGTTATCACTAGAGGGCATGAAGTACTACAGTGATACCAGCACTGTGAGAAAGACGTGAACAGCTTTACAGCATCTGAAACCTTGACACAGCCTGAATGCAGAGTTAAGGATACACATTTCTGCCACATCAGCTGCATCTCCACAAGTACAGGTTGGTATCAGCCCTGCTTATGACAGTTTATTCCTGGCAGTGTTAGCAACAAAAATGAAACGCAGAATGCTAAAATCAGAACTGTTTCTAGAAACATCACCCAAAATCTTCCACAGCAGAGCAGTTTTTAAACCAAGTTTTTAAAATGCATTCAATTCTGTCTAATCATCAACAGTAAATAATTTCACAGTTATAATATCAGATTGATTGACCCCACTCCATCAGGTAACTCTCACACCTCAGGAGGTCACCAAACCCACCCACCAAAACTCACTGGTTTTCAGCTAGAACATTTCCTGATCCACTTCATCTCATCTATGCACAAATGCCAGCACACGCACACAGCCCACCCACTTCTACAATGCATTATAACACTGGTATAAACTCTCACAGGGAAAGTATTTCCACATTTCAGTGAGCAATGATTTCACACAGTATAGACTCAAAACCACCATCTGTATGCACGGACCCTCCTGCAGCATTATCCCAGCACAAGAGATTCAGTGACAAATCCTATAAACAAACAAAACCAGTGAAGTTCCTCAGTGTGAAATGCAAGCATAACAAGTAAAAGGAGTGGGAAATTGACAGCACAGGGGAGGGAAAAAAAAGCCTGAATCTTAGGGCTCTGGTTATTTACAACAACATTCAAAATTTCCCATCCATTTCCACAGCTTCAGGTGCAAAAAGAATTAAATAGCTGTTAAATTTTCTTAACAGCTATTTTCATTTCACCCTAGCATCACTTGGCCTAACAAAGGAAATGCTTATTTGCATCGCCTGTCCATTTTTATTTTTTATTATTTTTTTTTTTTTAGCCTTTCCTAGTGGGAAATAAGAGAAAATTGACAACAGACAAATTATACCACATCATTGTGTATTTTATGAAATTGCCAGTGTTGGCCTGATTAATATTTACCCTATTCAAGATACACTCAAAAACCACAACAAAGACACAATTCAGATAGAAAGAGACCAGAACAATCTGAATCAGGCAGCAACATCGAGAACATCAATGTTCAATTGTTGCTGCAGAAGCACTCATTCTCCTCCAAGGAAAATAACTCAGTGTCTTTGAAGACTGATGGTCACACACTCACCCCTCAGCTTCAATACAGTAATTTGTATGAAGTGTGGGTTGAATGGGCTTCATGCTGCTGAACAGTGTTTTGACAGCTAGAAATCAATTCTCAGAGGAAGGGCAAAATAAGCAACAACAGTGCAATTGAAATTTGGGCTTTTCAGAAAAGCAGGCATCTAAAAGGAACCTTCAGTGTTCACTTCCTTTGATTTATAGAACAGAGTGATCAATTAAAACACAGCTCCTCTCTGGTCGTTACCTAATGGAGCCTAAGGTCTGCAATCACTAAACTACCACAGCACTTTATATACTTTGTAAATAGACAGCAGGAGTATTTGTATGAAATAAATCCAAGCCAGAGGATGCAGAGGCCACACATGCAGCACCCAGAGCAAGACAGACCTAATAGTTTTAACACAGAGTTAAAGCCTTTCCTGAGTGTATGGACTTCACAGACCTAGCAGTCCTGTAACGCAGCTCCATTAAAAGCACTTGGATGCTCTATTTTGGTACTGACATTAGGAACCCCAGTTCCACATCCTGCTTCCCCACAACCTTTTCTGTAGGATGCTGTGCTAGTTACTTAGAGAGCCATAATGCAGAGAAATTCAACTACTCATAAAGTGGTAACAACACTGCCTGCCCATCAGTTATCCCCAATATCTCCCTAAAGATACATGCGTGGAAAGAGCAAAATAAATCCTTCCCCCCTCCCTCATCATGAAAACAGATCTTCCACACCTCCTGTTCCCTAAGAGTAACAGAAATGTTAGCACTGATGATGATATTGCTTAGATATGGAAGCTCTGATCAGAAAGATGCTTTGAGAATAAGTCAGCCAGTGTAACCAAAAGGAATATGCAGCAGATAAGCAGGTAATTCCTACATGAAAAACAGAGGGTTTTTTTTCTGGATAGACCTATCAAAAACTGACCCAGGATCAGCTGGGAAAAAACAACAGCACACAGAACCATTCAAAAACTGACTCACGTCCTTCACTTCTACTCGTAACTTTGTTAGCCTCACAACATCACTGTGGCTAAGTGGTGAGTGATTGGCTACCATCAGCACAAGTTAAACATTTTCAGAAGAAAAACACATTCAATACTACAGGCAGGAAGCACTGGAATTGTGTTCAAATAAGTTATATGCAGGTAAATTTTCCAACTGAATATATACTGCACTGCTGATAGCTTAAGTCACTATTCTGTGCAAAGTCAGCAGTATCCAAAGCATTATTTGAGAATAAAAAGCTTAATGCATCATCTGAAATGTTATAGGGCTACTACACTGCAGTCTGATGCATGGACTCAGATGTGAATGATCCAAATCATTTATTACAAGTTCTCACATCACTTAGATATTTTCACAAGCTTTCTTTTTCTAGCTTTGCCATCCACCCACCCCTACAACTTTCCCATCCACCTTTACACGTCAACAGAGCATTCTACAAAACACTCTTCAACCATTCATGCAGGCTCTTATCCCATCAGAGCTGTGAGACGTTCTTTCTCCTTCTAGAGGTGTCCTTGGTTCTCATGCTTATCTTGCTCCACAGCTGCTGCTCTGAACAGCTTTTCTTGTATTCCCACAGTACACTTTGAAATTACCCACATTACATTCCTCAGTACATATCAACTTTTGTCTACGTGGTAACAGATATTTGGAAGAACTAGTAGTTAATAGTACTGGCAAACCACACTGTGATCAGTAAGTATTCGTGTTGCTGTTATATTTTTCACTGCAATTATGAATGTCACTTAAAATACAAAGATATTACTTACTTGGTTCCAACTTCTTCAGATCCTCAAGCTTAAATTCATCCTGTGATTGAGTGGACTAGGAAATAAAGAAAGAATTAATCTTGGATGCATCTTCCCCCTCAAAGCTAATACATTTCAAAGTAAGCATGCAAGCTGTTCCCTCTGTTCAAGCACACTGCTACTTCAAAGCTATGCCTTAAAACAAACAAGAAACTCCACAAATCTCCTTGACGGGAGGCTAGGTTCATAGATGAGGCAGAAAGTATGTCTCTTATCATTTATTGACAGAAAATGTACCCACCATAAGATAAAGACATTTCAAGTACCTCATTGAGCTTTCATTCCCATCACAAACAGGTACATTAGGACAGAGAGACTTGTTTCCATTCTCCCCCAGCCAAGTCATACCGAAGCGAGATCACCTCTAAAACTACAAAGCAACGCTCCCAAAGGAGCCCACACAGCTCAAGACATACTTGGAGCATTATAACACTGGCAGAAACAGAATGGGCTTGACTAAACAACTCAGCTGATCTAAGAGCTCGCCACAGGGATTCTCATCTCCTTCTCCAACTCTGATGATACAGCTTCCTCATCTAGCCTGTAGCACATCTGCTTCTCTCACTAAGCCTACTGACTTACTAACTCAGAGAGCTTTTTTATTCTTTATTCCAAGTTAGTTCACAGTTTGGCAAGCTGAACCAGCGACTTCTGAGATAACTGGCAAAGTTAGTGTAAGAAAAGTGCAAGTAAGGGGATTGACATTGGACATCCCCTTTTAGGTAGAGGATCAGGTCTTAACTACTGTGCCACTGCACTCATGGTATCTGCTAAGATTGCCCATCATTTCAACATTTCCTTAAGGCCTAATTACTGTCTTGGTTTTCTCGCTCAAGTGTCAGTAGGGACCTGAGAAGACCGCAGGACAGTAAAGCTGCTATAACCACACGGTCTGGAGAAGAGGTGAGGACCGTACTCATTAACTGCTCTATTCTCTGCTAAGAAATCATGACAAAACTGCACATGTGAAACACTCTCTGTGTGTAGGTGAGAAGTTGTAGTACCCTCTCACTGAGTTCTGAAATTCTGGAATTACTGCTGAAGAACCAACAGCAAGGAAGACTATTCTTGCAAGACATCCTCCCTTCAGTTCAGCAGCCTATCACATTTCTGTATCTTCTGTTCTGGAAAGTGATTTGATCTATGAAACCATCCTACAAAGGAACAAACCTGCCCTTATCACAAAAATCACTGTGACTCATAACAAATGCAATGCTGTTCAAACAGTCCAGGTAGGATCAAAACAGAAAGACAGGAGAGCTAATCAAATAATTCTGACTGCTGCCTAGCATCTAGACTCAAACCTGCTCAAACCTCACTCTCATTCTCAGCTCCAGAATGCCACAATGACTGAATTTTCAATTGAAAATTGAAAGCTCTCAGAGAGCTGAAGGCAGCACAACGGCACTGTTGCACTATTTACACCATCATGAAGCATTCAGAAGTGCTGTTATTAGTAACTTGATGCAAAAATTCCCTGTCACCACTCTTGATTGGGAAAGAGTTAATCAAATAACTCAAATTACCTAACTTACCTCTTCATCCCTCCCTACCTGCACTCTTTTTACTCAAGACACAATCCTCCTTGCACTCCATTATGATCTATGAAGTAGGCAGCTCAGTGCAAGGGTGACTCTAAGGGTCCCTTTACTCTCACGCACAGATTAGGCAGACAAGCTCTGTGGGTTGCAATTGAGGCGAGCAACCAGAGATACAAAACCTGAAGCCAAATTCCAGTAAAAATCATAATATATTCACATACAAGCAACGTATACATACTCATATATAAGCTCTTAGGGAGCTGCCTGGGGCATCACATTGACAACCTGGAAAGTCCAAGCATTCAAGGAGCTGTTCATTCTGCTTCCAGAAGTTTTGGCTTTGTCTGAAGACAGCATTAGGGTTGCCTACCACCAAGTATGAAATCACATGGGAAAGAGAACTGTACCTGTAAAGCTGCACTTCTCAGTTCCAAGCATGTTGCAATTTTAGCTATGGTTTTCTGAAAATAAAAGCGTAAATAAGTATTGAAACTGCATCAATCCATGTTTTTATTTATATTAAAAAACATGTGAATAATAGTTACAAAGACTTCAGATCTATTCCTCAGTATCAGATCATCCAGCATCAAAAGCTCTTCAATACACAAGCAAGATTTTCTCAAAGTGTAATAGATGAAAATGAAACATCTGCCATTTAGCTTTTCTTCCACAGCTTATCAGCACAGATGGGGGTCATTCACTTAGCAGAAACTGTCATAATGCCTACCGCATCATAAACTGTTTATAAACTCAACTATTCTGAAGTGATAGGAGAGAGCCAAAAAAAAAAAAAGAAATCCAAACAAACCAACATTTGCACCTTCTGAGAACGAGCAGTTTGCTGCAATTTGCCCCTTTAAGGAGCCATGCTTACAGTTGCTTTAGCTTACAAGTCTCAACAGACCGAGTCAGCCCTCCTCAGACATCAATGCCTAGAACATCAGCACAGAAGAACTGTGGTCCATCCTCTTCTGAGGGTTTTGAAGGGAGATGAGGTACAAAGGTGGATTACTTTTTTTTTTTTTTTTTACTATAACCTCTGCAACTCGCTAACTCAATTAAAGTCTGAGAGAAGTGTGAAACAGATTTTATTTGATTCAAACCTGCCAGATGCCTAAAATATCCCCAAGCAAAACTGCTAAGTAATTTGCCATTCTGATTTTAAAACATAGAAGGGAAGGGCTTCAAAACAGCCCACTGCTAACAGTGGTACTTTTTAGGATAGTGCTACTAAAGCTTTTATACCTCTCAAAATAAGAAGCTGGGGAAGCAGTTGCAGCTGTTTCTATTACAACCAGCTGAAAAACATCAAGAGGGATTCAGAATTGTGTAGGATGTCAAGTGGATGTATCTGTGTGGTTTATTCTTATTGCTTTTGACCATCATGTGTTGGTTAATTAACCAAAACGTTTCAGTGCAAAAAAACTCAAATTTTACCCGCTCAGTTCTCAGCTCTCTTGGACATGCAGCACACGCAGCAGTACCTTGCTGTCCTGTATTATAATTCCCAAACTCAACAGTACATTTGCACACAACATGGCAGAATCAAAATATTATCATTTCTATGAAGATCCGTGTCACAATCTTGGTTCAATCAACAAACTTCTATATTATTAAATTATGTTACTTAACAGAGATTCACAGCTGCTTCTCCAGCATAGACTGGGGAGAGACATTTCTGAATTGTAAAGGAACACACGCAATCCCAGGTAAATTTTAACACATTCAGTCCCACATTCAGGTTCTACAGATGTACATACAGTCAGACTGGGTGGGAGGAGATCAGGTAGTGCTACTGAAGCAGATTCTGCTCCCTGGGGAAAGAACACACTACAGCTACTGCATAACATACGGAATTCCTTTTTATAAGAGAACATCTGGAAAGATATGTTTGCATGGGCAGAATCTCAAAGAAGAGAAAGGTGTGAAATAAAGGATAAAAGAGAGGAATGCACAGATTCCCCAAGGAAAGGAAATCTCTGAGCAAAGAGCATGCCAGTTCCACGTTAGATCAAACATCCTTCAACTGCACCAGAAAAACAGCTACAAGTGTGTTTGCAGGGTGCCAGCTCATGGTCTCCACTATGGAATCAAAACTTGTAAATGGGTTTTCACGTGGCTCTTCTCACTGTCTCGTGCACAGAGCATGAAGCTCACACCATAAATCAGGTCTCAAGAAACACGGCTCATCTCCCGTCTCCTACGTTAACTCACTGAGAAGCTCAGCAACACCACCGCTCCCAATCCTGCAGATACTTCACTCTGTATTCCTAACATTGCCTGAATTGGAGATCTCGTGACAGGACAAACAGCTATAAAATGCATGCCCTCTGGCACCTGGGGGCTGAAGGGCAATAGAGCCCCTAGGAACAGATTAATTGAAGAGAGTTTGGGATTCTTAAAATAGTAAAGAATAGGTTTTATATGGAATCTATTGAAATATGGCAAGCTCCCAGCAGGCATTATTCATAACTATTTTTTTAAGGGACCACACCCAACCCAAAAGTTAAAAATGCAGCTAAACACTGCTATCATTTTCAGCTGCAGCTATCCCATGCAAAGACTCATTTTTGCAGCAGGGAAAACATTCTGCATCTCATTAAAAAGACTGAAATCATTATTAATTTTGCTTGTTTAAAGTCTTGAAGATTCAGTTTTATGTAAACTAGCGATTAGAAAGGGAATAAAGTCAGTTGATCTCGTAGTCAAGGTTTCTTTGGTGCAGTTGTGTGAGTAATGACTGTGCTAACTGTAAAGCAGTCAAAGATGTTTGCATAAATACAGAGCCAGAGCAGAGTTTGGCTTTAAAGAGAAGCCTAGGCTGTTAGGAGACCACTAGTTTAATGAATCATGCTATGACTGTGCAACAGTGCTCTTACTGCAGCAAATTAGCACTGTGCAAAAAGCATGATTTTCCAAAACTGCAGTAAAAAAGGCACATGAGAAACAACAACTGAGGTCAGCAGAGGGTTTTAAAGGTCAAATTTACTGCGTAGAGAACTGAGCCATAGCTGGAGAAAAACTGACAGTTACAGCCAAACCCAACTGGATCAACTCAGCAAAACGTAGCGGTTGATCATAAATGAAGACAGAATTTTAGAGAACGAAGGTAAAAGATTACAGCAGAAAGCAGATGTTAAGAGTGAGGTCAGCCCACCAGACAATAGCTGATAATATCCAACATTCACAGCTTCTAAGTGACAAAACTGCTGCACAGCCTCCTTAAGGCTGTTACAGAGCAATTAGATTTAAACTTTTGAGTTTGCAACAAAACTCATAATCATGAATGAGGATTCCAGCACCATCAGTTTTGCAAGACAAGACAGAGCCTTTTCTAAGTACTGAAACTCCAGAATGGCATGTAGAAGTAGATGGAAGACAGAAAACCCAGGGAACTGCAAATTATGGAGACTGGTTTTTCCTATCAAATGAAGATGCATGAAATCCTTCAAAACACGCTCCAGATCTCTAGCAAAAAGGAAGATGTGTGAATACTGAAATATCTGAGTTCTTATCTAAATGTATATCTTTATTAGAAGGTAAATGATAACTGCTCACACTACATCTATGTGAAACAAATTGGTAGTATCTATGAAGTGCTGCTAGATTACAGGATTGCACAGTTATAATAGCAAGTGACACACCATCAATTATATGATGTGGCCACGTCTGGAGAGTAACAGTACCTGTGATGCATGAAATAAACCCAAAAATGTTAAGTTTATACATACAGACAGGGCCAAGAATTTTAACTTAGCAGTGTCTCTTCCTTGTAGTTGCAAAGCCAGGAGTTCCAGTAGTTCTTCCGTGGTACAGAGGAATCACTGCTGAAATCCATCTACTCTACATGGTATGTCAAGTAAAAAACAGTGACAATCTCACTGTAATTCTTAGTACTACTTATGGTCCTTTAGAAAACAGCTAGGTGGAAATCCAGGCAAAGACTGGAACAAGGGCAGACTGAGCAACTGGAAATCATCATTAGTTTCACAAGCTTGCCTTCTCCAGACAGCGAAATTCTATGCACAGCCTGGCCCATGACATCACATATGTAAACTGAAGAAAACAAATATCAATTCAGATAAACAAATAGTACATAGCAAATAGTAACTAGAAAAGACAAGAAATTAGGGAATGAGTAACTTTCCAGACCTGAGATCAAAGAGCAGGGCCAGTGCCTTGACAGGAACTTATTTCAGTAAGACCAGCTGGTCAACTGTGGACATTTTTGAGAGGTAGAAAGAGAGAAGACATACTCCTAGTTAACTAAATTGACTGAAAACCCAGAATTGTGCTTAACTCTATTCCTATATGCTGATGAACAATAGTAGAGATGATAGTAATTTGTCATGATCACTGAATTATAATTGCCAAGCTTCTGCAGAAATAGGGAACACCAGAGGAGTAAACAGCTGTCAGACTAAAAGATCTTAGCAGCACCGAAGCTTAAATTCTGTAGAAAGTGACAGGACTATCATTTTTGCTGTGACTAGCATGATTTGTGAGAAATGGGGCTAAGAGGATGTTCCCTTAGTATATGAATGCAGTTGCAACTGAGGTCAGTTATCATGACTTGCTGAACCTCCCAGGCCTTTCCTCATGTCTGACCTCACTTACTTCCCCCATCAGGACAGAAGTACTTTCCCCAAAACTCAGGAAACATCTGTAAGCAAAACCCTATGTCATTATGGTTCTTATGCTCTCAGGAGATGGTGCCTCTAAAGTGGCACTAACAGCTTCTCTTTGCTAAAATAACCACTGTATAATGAAAGAATATTAGGATGTTATAATCACAAAATAAACAAGAGAGTTTAGGCAAAGTAGACTATGATAACAAAAGAGAATAAATGGAAGGCTCACCCCTATCCTGGGCTCACTCACAAAACACCAGTGGAGGCAATCTCCAGATGAGATCCTTCCCTGCTGCCAGCCAGCTCTTAAATAGGTCTAGGAGGGCTGGGGCCTGGCTCCACCCCTTCCTGCAGCACAGGAGAATTGCCTTCAGCTGTGCTCCTCTGGCTGACTCATGGCTCGCCTCAGGTGATCAATCAGAGGTTCAGGCTGTGACTCAGCAGTTCCCATACAAACCATATTTTCCAAAAGTCTCCACAGAGGAGAAACATGCAGTAAAGATGATAATAGCTGAGAAATATGGACAAAGATTTTAGAAAGGGATAGAGAGCAAAAGCAATGAATGAGTGAACATCTGCCCAATGTTCACGAGGATCCTCCAGTTCAGGAAAGGTGGCCCCAACCCTCCTCCAAGATTCTGACTCAGCTTAAGACTATTACGAGCCTTACCCTGTTCTTCACAGAAGGGCAATAGAAAAGGGAAGGCCACTTCTTGGCTCTTTTTGATGGTATACGTCAAGAAAACATTTACAGACCACTGTCAGACTGCACATAAAGGTGTATTTCCTAGTGATAAATGATCAAGTTCATCTCCAATTTCTGTAGCCAGAGCTTGTTTTCAGGAGTGACATTAACAAACACAGACCCCATCACTCTAGCACCCTTTTAGCATACATGGGATTCTAGGCTAGGAAATGTCACTGCTCAGGCAATGCTGCTGCTCAAACAAGGGATCTCATGATTTACAACCTGGAAATACATATTTTCTCTAATATAGTATTCCTACGAAAAATGTGGCTTTATGCAAGGTACTAAAGATTGGCAAGGCCTCATATCCCAGATTTCCTTGTATTCTGCTGAAGTTACTTGCATGTTGGACCTCAACTAGCACATTCCTCCTAAAACCTGTCATAGAATGACAACTATGTGATACTGAGACAAAAACCAGCCTTTTCAGCTGAGAGAAGGGGAGAAAGAGTAGACAGCTCAATATTTTGAAAGATTACAAATAAATAACATTGAGACTAGTCAGGAGTATGCAGCTAGGATCCTTCCCAGTCAGGCATTACACGTTAGGCTAAGATCCTCCACACACACCCTCGACATCTACAGCTCAAGACATTTTGTATTCAGTCTTCATAACATAAATCCTGTTAATTTTGTATAAGCAAGTTATCAAAAGGTCACCAGAAAAAAAGAAAACACAACACCCAGATTATGAGAGACACTGACCAGCATGTGAGACATTAGACATTCAACATTACACAGCGGAGCATCTGTCACATCTAATGACAGTAGCAGTTTCAGCCACACTGGGCTCTGCTTCTGTTATTGCATATTAAGAGTGGAAAACAGGTATCATAAAGCTCAGGTCTGCCAGACACAAAAACAACATCTGTGAGGCAAGTTCCTTGACTACACCAACAGCAACGCTTACCTTTTGATCTTCTGTAAATTCTGAGCTGTTGTGCTGAGACTGTGCTTCTTTTTGAAGATGTCTTGCTAATCTAGAGGAGAAGGGGAGAAAACTGTACAGTGAGAGGACAACACAGAAGCCCATCATCATTGTCACAACCTACAGAAAATGTGCCACAGGCTACTGCTCCAAGCAGTTTCTTTTTCACAAAGATTTCGATAGCCACAGTAGGCTACACCAAATAAAAACAAACAGAAGACAAAGTATTATGCAGGAAAAACTACTTACAGTGTGTCAAAATAGGTATGAAGGTCCTTCTAGCCAACAGCCCCTTCTATGAGCACTGACCTTTTTTCTTTCCCCATCCATTTTTTTAAATCAAACTATCATAAATTATACTGCCTGTGAAAAGGACCCACTGAGATACAAGTGCTATGTTTCTCATGGAGAATCTGATTGCCAGGAGGAGTGGGTGCAGGCAGAGCAGCAGTAGGTAGCGTGGGCAATGGCCACACGCTCTCCCAATGAGGGAGATGGGGACATTGTGGCTGAGCCTCTCAGGGTGCTGCAGTTCCTATTTGGGCCTGTCAGCATCATACGCAGAGCTGCAGCTCCACTCATTACCACCACAGAGACCAGTGTCAAGGGGTTTGGGAAGTAACAGCAAGCAAACAGCTCACGAAAGCGAAAGGAAGCTAGAGGGAATCTATGGGAAGAGTTACAGTTTCCTTCTAGGGAGGAAGGAGAAAATTAAACAAGCCAGACCGTGCAATTGGAAACTGCAATTGTTGCCATTCTCTGTGAATATATACATACATTTAGTGGCACTGGAGAGAGGGGTTGAGGGAAAAACCTAAGACAACAACAGCACTGTGGACATCTCAACACACTCCCACTGGGAATCTCTTTGTAATGTTGTGCTCTTAAAGAAATTCGGCTTCTTGCCACGGGTGTACAGGCACTAACCTGCTTTTTTCTGAGGGAGTGAAAATAGACACAATCACAGTCAAAGCCTGTGAAAGGAATAAACTGCAGAGCTCAAATGTTCCTTTGCTCCTCCTGAAATAAGCGCTATTAAAAAGACACAAGGATTGCAGCCACTGTAGCTATCTGCTATAAGCAGCAAAGAACCAGCAGAATGGGATAATGACACAGATTAGTTACAACATCCTCCCTTGGAATGGAAGAAAATGGTGGCAGAGAAAAGTCAGAAAGCACAGGCACTTGAACCTGAACATACGGTCACCCCTTCCTCAGTGGTACAGCACAAGTGATACAGAAAGCTATGTACATACATCACTTGGGCATTTAAAAAACAATTTCAGAAAACAAGTAATCATAGCAGCAACACACCACCCACAACAGACAACATCTTAGCAATAACACCTCTGTGAGCATCAGCAACAATGATCTTTGCATTTGTTGCTAATACAAAACCACCAACAAAAAGCACTCTAATTCAAATAAGTGCCTCTGGTGTCCCACCCGATGCTTGCGCAAGGTAGGACCAGGCCAAGTCCTACAGGTGGTGGGAGGTACTGCTGGTGGCTGGTACTGCTGGTGGCTGAGGCTTGCACACGAGCATGCACCTGAATGAGCAAGGGTCAATCTCGGCACCAAACTTCCAGGAGCAACGCAAAGACCTGAGCAGACTTAGGCTCCCTGGACAAGGGAGGCAAGCAGTTGTGCCAAGAGCCATTCAAGCCCTGATTTGAAATCAGCCTAGAAAAATCTTTCTCATTGTAAGCAAGCTCAACATAGTTTATCATGATTCTTCCTACACTGATCTGTACAGAGCTGGCCAATTGCTAAAAGCATCCAGCCAGCTGTACCAGCGTAATCAAATTCCCATTTAAAAAAGCAGCAAGTAGCATGAAGCCACAACGGGATGTTTCTCCAGAGCTAGAGGCTGCTATCTCACCCTACGCTTCTTAACTGTAGCCTTTATCCTAGGGATCGAAGCTGCTGTTGGTCTACCTGCTACACTGAAAAGAAGTGGATGCACAGACTGAAAAGGTTCTGCTCCTCTCCAGGAAATCCCTGTCAATCTTTGTTCTTCTTCCTCCTGGGGCCACAGAGTTCATCTGCTGACTGCTCCTCAGGAGCTCAGTGGTAAAGCTTCCAAAGGCAGCTCACAACGCTGCTACCCAGAGGAGCGTTCTTACAACTATATTATACTGCTACAAAGTTGGAATAAAGCACGGGCACCAAGATCACCTCAGTCCTTATCAGACACAACAGAAAAGGAATGAAAATCACGCCTTGGCTCTTCCCGTGGTCCAGCTGCAATCATTAAGTGAACTTACTTCTCAGCAAGGCAAGCTCTGAAGGAGAAGCCTGAGGACTTTCTGTTCTAAGGGAAATTCCTTGAAGGAAACTGACCCCTAATACTGCCAAGGGGGGTTGCAGCGTTAGGGGTCATAATGCACTCCTCATGAATGTGTATGTAAGGGCACTTATTAAAACGCCTTTCTATTGCCGTGCCAAGGCATGTAGTAACAGCTTCCCCTGAGCTGCAAGCGGCAGATAACTGAGCGCGCACCGTCCTACCCGCTAAGGGACCGTGCTGAGGAGACGAGCACCTCACCATGCAGCACCCACCCGGGAACGGCACTCAGCTGGGAGCCAAGGCAGCCGCAGCGCCAGCCCCGAGCAGCCGTAGAAGACCTCTCGGACGGTGCCCCTTAGGCTGATATTCTACCGGGGCAGAACGCTCGGGACTCCTTCCAGACGCCCACCGCAAGAACCTGAGCCTGGAGCGCTCAGCTCGCACGGATCGCGCTCAGCTCACAGCTCCCAGCCGCTCGCTCAGGTTCCCGCCGGCACTCAGCGGACTCCGCAGCGCGCGCCCACCCGCCCAGTCGGACCCCACGGTCCCCACGCTGCCCCGCGCTCTGAATCACCCGCACTCTGGGAGGCTTCGGTCCGGCGGGGCGGGTCCCGCCCGCCCCCGTTCCCCTCAGCCGGGGTCCCGCGTCCCGCCTCGCCTCGCGGGGCGGCCCCGCGTTACATAACGGCACCGGCAGCGAGGCCGGGGGGGCTGCGGCCTAGGCCCTGCAGCCACCCGCCCCGCCCCGCCCCGGACTGCCCGGCGGGGCCGTGCCGGGCTGCAGGGGAGCGCTGCGGGGAGCCGCCCGCCCTCTCGCTCCTCCGCGCCTTCCCCGGGGCCGCACTCACATCTGGTACTCGTCGATCGCCTCCACCAGCTGCCCCCAGGAGTCGAAGTCGGTGCCTTTCCTGAAGCTGGCGCCCCAGCGCTGCAGGAGGCTCCGGGCCGCCTCCGACATAGCCCCAGCACTAGGGCACCATGCTCACCCCGGGCCGGGGCACCGCGCCGGGCAGCCGCTCCCGCCAGCCCCACGCCCGCCGCCGGCCCAGCCCGGCCCAGCCCAGCCGCCGCGACAACCAAACGCGGCGGCCGCCTCCCGCCAGCGCCGCCCAGCGAGGGAGGCTGCGCCAGCCGCACCCGCCCGCGCCATCGCTACCGAGGCGGAGGCGCTACGCGCGAAGCTGGTTCCGCCTCGCTATGTGTCATGGCGGCGGTCACGTGATCGCGCAGGGCGCCGCCGCCGAGAACCGGCCGTAGTCCGGGCAAGAATCGCTCGTCTCCTCTGGGCCCCGCCGCTCCCGGCAGAAGGGTCCCGGGTGAGTAGTGGGGTTCCCGCAGGTCTTCCTCCCTTCGTCAGCCGCTAGCGAAAGCGGCGGTGGGGCTTTTACGGCGCGGGCCCGCTGTCGGAACGTGCGGCCTGGCCGGCCCTACGCCTCCAGTGTCGTTGGGGCGGTGAACAATGAGCGGGGCTCTGCCGGCGGGCCGCCGTGCTGCCGGGGGGCGGTGCCCAGGGCACTCCATTATCTGACCGAACGCATCTCGTGTGGGGCCGGGCAGCGAGCCCGGCCTGCCCGCGCTGGGAACGGCTGTGTGAGCCGCGAGGTAAGCAGCAAGCAGCTGGGCAGGCACAAAGAGGTCGCGGACAAGGAACTTTCTGGTCCCCTCGTAAGGCCTGGGCTCTAGGATACGCGGCAGGATGTTCTTTTTCAGCAGGCCTCTTGGGTTTTGGCTAAGCTGCACAGCGTATTAGAATAGGGAGTTTACAGCCCCAAAAAGGATCATAGGGTGGTTCAGGCTAGAGAGGTTCCAAGGGGCTTTGCAGTCCAACAGCGGCTGTGGGGTCAGAGCAGGATGCTCAGGGCTTCGTCCTGTTACATCCTGAAAACCTGTAACCCACATCCTTTAATGTCATGCATCCACATATTTTTAACACCTCCAATATAATGACGTCAATGAATTGAGATACAGCTGCATAACAATTAGATCAACACAGTGGAATGGTGATACATGAGATGTGATGACAAAGGGACTAGTGCAATGGTGGTAACTAGTGTTACAAAGGAAAGATATGCAGCGGTCTCTAAAGATCCAGGCTTACAGGAAAAAACTCCACAAGGGAGAGATCTCCAACCAGAGATCCTTCCCCAGGGGCAGTCAGCCCTTAAATGGGGTCTAAGAGGGGTCCACCCTTCCAGCTGAATTGCCTTCACCTGTGCTTCCAGGGCTGTCCTTTTCCAGGTGCTCAATCAGTAGCTTAGGCCATGACTCAACAGTTTCTATACAACCTGTAAATATGGGAGATATTTAACCTTGCACAGGCAGTAACAATTGTTTTGAGTAAGAAAGTATGCAGTAATATAGAACAAAGGTATAGCTTTTTTTGCTCTCATAGAAAATAGTTACCTCATAGAAAATAGGTATTCCAAGAGAATGAAATTCTGAAACTAAGTGTATGGGTGGCAAAGGCTCAATCTTTCAAATGGAAAAAATAATACTTAGTATAATTGTATATGTAAGTTTTCAAATTATTTTATTTTCTGATTGTTTGCATTTGAAATGCATTTTTGTGAACCGAGAAATGCCTCAGCTGTGTGTGTTCTTATAGCTGCTTGTTTCTTTCCATGCTTCAGATTTGGTGTGAACAACATTACAGGAGGAAAATGACACACTGGTTTCATCGCAATCCTTTGAAGGCTACAGCTCCTGTTCAGTTCAATTATTATGGGGTAGCTACCACTCCAGCTTCATCTAAGATTTGCAAGTAAGTGTGCTTATAATCAACTTCAGCCTGCCTCTGTTTGGAGGATGTTTTTAAAAGTAATGGTTGTTCTCCTAGTTTTGTTCTGAAGATAACTAGAGGTAGTGTGTAGGCTGAGAGACAATGAAATACTGATAGCACTGAACAAAGAACAAATTATCCAGTTTTCAAGTTTCTTAGTGTATAGCAAGACCTATTGTAATAATATAGAGGCAAAAGACTAAACGTTTCTTTGTCTTTCTGGTGACTGGGCATTCCTCTGCAAAAGATTACTCTGTAAGTGAATAAGACATAAATGTACTATTGTAGTTAGGAATATAAGGAAAAGAAATCACACTTTATTTTGCAGATTTATTCTTATCTCTTCATATGCTCACCCCGTTCTTATAGTGATGAATGCTCCTACTTGTTACTGTTCTTTCTTCCATTTGCACCTAGCCTGTTGGTAGATAAAGGAATATTCATTTTAGTCTGTGATAAAACTTACAGATAATCATTGATTTATTTGCTGTTATTCGATGCTATCTGTCCATAATGGATTGTGCTTTTAAAAAGAAAATTAAATATCAAGAGGTGAAAAGAAGATTTTTTTTAATTTAATTTATTGGCATCTTCCTTTCAGAGTACCTTTCCTTGTGTTAAGGTAGCTGACTCGAATGCTTATTTTAATTTCCTTAGCCAAAAGAGTGGTGGTAACGTGGGTGGGTTCAACAGCACATTCTTTGGTAGAGCTTCTTAGTTTTCTTTTCTTCTTTTTTCCCTTTCCTGTAGTGATTTGAGGTTATCTCGGACACGACTGCTGGAGCTGTTTACAGACTTGAGCTGTAATCCAGAGATGATGAAGAATGCAACTGACTTGTACTTTTCGCTCTTGCAAGGTAGGAACGTGCAGAACTGCTAATAAATCAAGTATGTCGTTTGAGTTTTAATAATGCTTTTCTGAACACGTGTTGAACTAGTCTTATATGAAACTGCCCTTCTCAGGAAGGAGGGTATTTTCGTGGGCTCTGTGCTTGATGCCAGTCACAGACACTTGCTAGACCCTCTCTGCAAGTTTCAGTGTCCTTTTGCACTCTGAGTAGAAAGCTTTGGTTGTCTTATCCTCTTGCTTTTATCTTCATTATGCTTCCTGTTGGAGGAGAAAGTGTCATTTCTTACACTGTGAATTGCTTCTGAAGTATAAATTGAATCTACGGTTTAGTTAATAAGTCACTCTTCAGTGTAAACTCCTGGTTTATCTAATGCTAGGTAGTAGAACTTGTTCCAAACTTATGTTTCTGCTCTTTATCTTAGGTATGTCCCTGGGTTCTTATTTTCAGGAGTTGCTACATTCCCTTGAAGCCCTCCTTCTGTCAGTATTTCAATAACTCTCTCTTAGCAATGGTTTTTGAAAACTCTCAGACAAGTTACTTAGGATTGAATTTATAGGAATCAGATGATTGATGAAAACTCAGTTATCCTTCAGTCTGTGGAAAGGGAAGCAGCTCAAGTTGGTGTAGTTTCCTCAGTCTCTTGAGTGGTGTAAGTTAACGAAACATTCTAGATAAAAGCAAGATAACAAAGTTACTGCATGTAAAATTTAGAGTTTCTTCAGGAAAACATGTTTTGTCACTAAAATTTCTTGTATATAAAAAAAGTATTTTCTTTCCCTATAAATCTCTGACAGAACCTAGAATTAATTGTAGCCCAAATAGCTGCTGTTGCAATTCTTGAGTTCTTAAAATCTGTAAGACCTCACCAGAGCTGAGTTAGTCTCTCCTGCCTGGGATTTCCTGCTAGCATCTGAACATCCGTGATGAGCTCTGTATGGTAACTGTTGAGTCATGGCCTGAACCACTGATTGGGCACCAGGGAAAGGATCCTGTCAGCCCTGGGAGCACAGGTGAAGGCAATTCAGCTGTGTGAGTGGACGGGATGAAGCCTGGCTGCACCTCTCTTAGACCCCTCTTTAAGGGCTGACTGCCCCTGGGGAAGGATCTCTGGTTGGAGATCCCTCCTCGGTTAAACTTTCCCCTGCAAACCTGGAACCTTTTGTAGTTAACAAAATACGCAAGTTAGAGATGTAGTCAACGAAATACGTAAAGCGGGTAGGGTGATACGGGTGAGCAATGTTCTTCCCTTCCTTTATAGCACCTGTCTGTTGTGCCAGTCCTTTTGTTATCACATCTTTGTTGTAACCCTTTCCTGTTGTATTGATCTGTCCAATTGCTACAAGGTCAATCTCACTGATGCCTGCTTTCTGGGCAGTTGCATGTACAGAAGCAATTTCTTGTAGCCCGGGAGACAGGGTAGCTGGTGATTATGTAAATCCATGCTTGTAAGTCCTTTTCTCTTTCCCTGTTGACCAGACAGCTTTTCCTCGACCTTACTTATTGTTACAGTAGCAGGGAGCAGCCATAAGCATCCAGTACTCAACTCAGTCAAACTTCAGCTAGTCACCATATGGTATGGGCTTTTTCTTGAGCTGTGAAGACTTGCTGGGTTGAAGACCTGCAATCTTACCTAATGAAAGATGCCCTTGCCCACAATATAGATGATATTTTAAAGATCTCCAACCCAAACCATTCCCTGATTCTGTAAGCTGGTAACCTGGTGTGCAAAGATTTTCTTCTGGTAGCCAGTTTTTATTTTTCAAGTCTTATTCTCCAGATACTGAAGAATAGAAGTCTCAGGAGGTAGTTTGCATTTTGAGCAGTACAGCAATAAACATTCCTTTATCTATATTCTCACCAATTCCTGTTGTTTCGTTACTACTTTTCGTTCTTTATTTTGAAATTGGCTGTCAGCAGTGTTTTGTTTAAATTATTTTATTTTATTGTATAGGTTTTATCCTTTCACTGGATGACTCTTCCCAAGAATGCAAACTGCGATATATTCAGAATTTCAAGTGGACAGACACATTGCAGGGACATGTTCCATGGTACGTATGCTTTTATGATTGCGTGGTACGCAGTTATTTTCTTTTGGTCTACTACGTGTGTGTACATATGACAGCACAGATGAATTAAAATTTGAACATGTAACAGAACTTTGGACACAAAGTAGTTTCCAACAATTTGTTGTTTTGCATTTTTTCTAATTGCCAAACTGTGATAGATGTTCTGAAGCATCTGTTGGCTTTATGTAGAGGCATGATAGTGCTTGTTAATGATAAAGTACCCCACTGTTTTTTAGTTTGCAAACAAACTATAATCTGCAGTTGACTAACGCAGTGCAAAAAGGAACCTGAGTATGAAAGTATGGTTTACTGCAATTTAAAACTTTTTCATTTGGCACCACTGTCTTCTAAATTTTTTTTATTGATGTCC